ACCTGATGACCTTCAGCTCTGTCTTTTGGGATGACAGCAGGGCTCGGAGCAGTGCTCCCTGAGCCCAGGGGCTGCAGCTGGCTCGGGGTGGTCCCAGGCTGGCAGCTGGGGGAGGCAGGACCCTGTCCACCTCTGCCTGTTCAGCCTGTTCTTCTGGTGCTGGACCAGTCATTTGTCTGGCTGTGCTGTGAACCTGGTGGCTGCACCACCAAGGGATGATACCACTGCTAGCTGGCCTGATGCGTTAATTTTCAGCTGTATGAGTCGCCCTGTACAACTGCACAGAAGACAAGACAGAAACACAATAGTTGCCATGTGTAAATAAGTCAGCATTGGCACGCCTGGCCAGAAGAGGTGGATAACTCACAGATCTGCCTTGCTCAGAAGTCCATGGAAGTACTTTCATCCAGCAGTGGTTCGAAGATGTGAGTAGCTAACTCCTGCTGTTTGCAATCAGGAAAAATGTTCCATCCAATTATACTAAAATTATGCTTGAAGATACAATTTTATCACTTTCTTTTTCTCTTCAGTTGCTGTGAAATAATGGAGTATTTGGCAATAAAAGCAGCAAAAACAAAGTAATGCCTTCGATGCTGAATATGTGCTAAATAATTCACAGAAGCTTTACTCTCTTGAAATCATTTTTGAGTTACCCAACATCTTGAAAACCTGTTTGTCATTTACACTGTGTTTGCTATGGTTCATCAGAGGGCTTTTCTGCATGCTGCTGCAGCTGTGAGTGAATGCAGGCGCTTGCCTTCTCTGGGCTCCTCCCGAGCAGCGTTGTTCTGGGGGCCTTTTTTTGTCCAGGGATTTTCATAAGCCTTTCCCTCTATGGTCACTGCTTCTCAGGCTTTTTACTCTTTGTGTGGGGTTGGGAAGAAGTGTCTGCAGTTGATTCTGATGCATTTCAATTTCTGTTGTGCTCTGGAGAGGTTGAGGAAGTTAGGATCTGGACTGTGGTGAAACGATTGAGGCTTTGTTGGAGTTCAAGTGAAGACAGTAAGCATGAGAAGAGTCTTCTCTTCCAGGCAGTTCTGTACCCTCTGTCTCATGCAGGGCCATGGAGCAGGTGGACAAAGGGCTGGGCAGGAGTCCCAGCATGCAGTCCTTGCTGTGCCACGTAGTGCCTGGCCTTGGCCCAGGCCTTTGGATAAACCTGAGGGGTGCTATGCCGTTTATGACCCTACTTCCCATTTAATTTATTAAAAAGTTCCAAAAATGTGTGCGCTTTGCCTTTCCATATCTTCACAACCTGCCCTTGGGTGGCTGGCAAGCCAGTTGGACAACCAATGTGGGAATGTGATGATTTCTATTTATAAATTTTTGGCTTCTTCATCTTCTGAGCTGAAAGTTGAAAAACCCGTTCGTGGCTGTTTTGAGAATTTCTGACTATGAATCACAAGGAAATTGCATAATGTTGCAGCGCTTCCTTCTATTGCTCACGGCTTTACAAACACCGCTCCTGCGGGAGGCTGGGGAAGGACCTTCCAGCCTGAACGCGGAGCCTGGGCGGAGGAGCAGCACCAGCAGAAGGACTGCATGGAGCAACCTTCCTGCCAGGCGGTTGGAATGATGGGATTCGATTCCTTGGAGATGGAGATCCCTCCATCTGTGAGGCAGAGCAGGGCTGCTGGCGTTGCTCTTAGTGGAGGCTTTCTGTCAACCACCGCTGCCTCCCACCTTGGAGGGGCTAGGCAGTTTGCTGCTCTAGTTTTTAGCCATCTGGGCAAAATCTGGTACTGATATCAGATGTCAGGAGCTGTGCTGAACGTTGTGCAGTCTCCAAGGTTTATGGCTTTGTTTGGGCCATTTTGATTTTAAAGTAAAACCCTTTTCTGTTTATGGAATGTAGCTGTTTTCTGCAAGGCTGTGTGCAAACGCGCAACTGCCATGTGAAAGCACAGTTAATTTATGGTGGAGCTTGGTAGACTTCGTGGCCAAACCAGTGTGAAACCTGAAATGAGGAAATAAACATAAAATTACTCAACACCTTCTTTTCTTAGTTCCCCTTCCAAACCCCAACTTACTTACTACTTTTTTCCTTTTCTTTACCCACAATCCAGCTTCACCCCAAGCAGCCCACAGGCAGGCACTTGTTAGCTGTTGGCTCTGTGCTTGCTGCTCTGTGCCATTTACATAGGAGTAGGTTGTAAAAACTGGTGAATTAGATTCTTGCTGATTTCCTTGTGTGCAAGCAGAAGCTGCTATCAGGCTACAAATGGTGACTGCAGGAGAATTTTAGGATATGAATGATGGATCTTAGAGGATTTTTGATAAAGAATATCTACAATTTAGCTTTTTTTTTTTTTATTAGCCACAGCTGCAAGGTGGGTGGGGTGTGGTGGAATTATAGGGGATGGTGCAGGTGGAACATGCACTCCTATCAGAACAGCTTGTAAGTTGGTTTGTGCCAGCAATCAATGCGGACTTGGGCATGGTGAATAGCAAGGACCTCCTTAGAATTCAGCACCGTTTTGCTGGGAAGCTGAGTGTGAGGCCAGATCTTAGCATCTTGTGCTGTTGGCCCTGTGTATTACCAAGGCTGTTTTGGAAGTATGGGGTGTTGATGCCTATGGAATCAAATGGGGCTGAATGAACGTTGCCATGCCGAGGCCCTGAGCTGGTCCCTGCTGGCCACCCCTTGGGAACTCTTGTCCCAAAAATCTCCTTCTTTAGAAGGCTTTAGGTGGTACAGCAAAAGGGTTTCTTTTACAAAGTAGCATTGTTTTGGAAAAGGGGAGGATGTTACAGAACTGGGGCTTAGTTAAAAGCTTGATGTTGTAGAGTGGTGTTAATGCATTACCACTGACGTGGATAAAAGGTTTGTCCTGAGCAAGGTGGGTGTAGGATGACAGCATCTCCTTGTTTAATGGTTGCATAGTTGACCTCTGGATGAAATTTCCTTTATAGCGTGTGCATACTTTGCAATTAATGGCACGAGTGCGTTGTGTTTCCTTGTCTGTCCTTTCCCTTTTTGTAAAGAACAGTCTGATGATTAATAACCTCTTTGTGGTTTTGCTTAACCAAACTGGAAGAACAAATATGCAGGCAGACACATTTCCCCCTGGAGCTGTGGTGCTGTGCACCATCACTTGGAGCTGCAGGAGCAGTCCCAGAGAGCTGGGCAGTGCGGGCAGAGCGCAGGACAGCAGGCACTGAAGCTGCGTGGGATCCCAAGACAGGAGCTGGTGTCACTGTGCAGGAGGTGGCTGGGCATGGACCACAGCCCTGGGCACAGCAGGGTGCTGGTGTCCAGCTCCTCTGGGATAGGTATGGCAGTTATGCTCCTGCTGGATGGAGCATAATGCCTGACTTGCCCTTCTGTTCTATGCAGTGCTCAGCTGCAGCAGGGCGCTTGTAGTGTGAGTGGTGACCTGAGGAGGGGTCCGACGCCCTGCAAGCCCCCGGTGGGTCGGACTCCTCTCAGCCCATGTCTGTGCTCCCTTCAGCAAGTCTCCAGTGGTGAGACTGAGGCTGGAGGGGAATACATCTTACTGGAGAGCTGACCTCATGGCCACGGCTACAAGGCGGCCCCACTGGTGGAAAGCCTGCTGTGTGCTTCCTTCCCTCTTTTCACTTATTTTCTTGATACAAATGCTGTTCCTGGAGGAAAACTCACTTGCTGACCCTGGCTGTTTTTGCTGCTGAATCATCCCCCAGTTTCCAGATGTGGATGATGGCCTTTCTTCTGCAAACAAAAACCCCACTTCACCTTGTATTGCACAGACCCATCCCTGGGGGGCAGCTGGGGAAGGTGTTCCTTGGGAATGCTGCAGGAAGGGTTGGTTTTGGAGCCTGGGAAACACCTGGACTGCAGCACCCAGGAGCTGCTTGTGGATCTCCACGTCCTTGGGGTTAATGTCACTAATTGGGACCCCTAACTGGGGCATGTCCTTTGCTGCATGATGGTGGCTCAGGGCCTCACTGCCACCCTGCTCTCCCGGATGCTCTGCTCATTGCTGCGTTGTGCGTTGCTATCAACAGTGCTGCTGGAAACTTTCCTTCCCCACCTGCTATTTCTGGACTCAGCATGTGGTTAAATCAGAGCAGTCCCTTGGAAGAGGGCTCCCAGCTTTGTTCCCTGCGAGAGGAAGGGTGTGCACGCTGATGGCTTTGTTTAGCAGCCTATACAGGCATTTCTTCCTGCTACAGTGGATGCTGCCACACTCGGCTCCACCTTGTGATGCTGACAGAGTGCTGTGTGTGCGTTTCAGTTTAGGCTCTGTGTTGGTGAAGGACTTCTGTTGTTTTTTCTTTAACCATCTTCATCTGTTGAGGTTGAGAAGCACAACCTGTTTGAAGGCTGACCTCCTCAGCCATGGTTTTCATTATGCTGGTCTTTTAAACCATGCTTAAACTGTGATTAATGCCCTCCGTTGACATTTTCCCCTGTTTGCTTCTACCCAGTAAAGTATCTGAAGTAGCCTGGCTGTAATTGTGCTCAGGACAGGAGGGTGAGGGGCAGCATTCAGACGTGGGATGCCATCACAGTGCTGAGGGCAGCTCGTCCTGCTGCAGTTCAGCTCCTCTGTGAATTCATGATGTTTCCTTTCCTCTTTGCCTGACTCATTTACTCACCTGTAGGTACACGTGAGTGGGAACGGCTCCCTGATTCTATGATTCTGATTCCCTGCTCCTTGCCCAGCATGCACACCCCAGGTGCTACTGTAATGCCCATAAGATATAAGGGGAGTCATTGGCTTTGCTCTAAGGTTATGTCCTTTATGTGTTTGAGAAGACCTCAGAAGAATAGAATGCCCACCTCTGTTTTGTTTCAAAGCCCATGAAGTTTTCATTCCCACCCAGCCTGTCCCATTCGTCCACAGTTCTTTTTGGAAAGTGTTCTGGTTGTTGGTACAGCTCTGGCTGCTGCACTGTGCCGTCCTGAGCAGGGAGCACTGTGCCGGCCTGGGGGTCTGGCTGGGGGGGATCCTGAGGCCAAGTCGCTTCCAGCTGCAGCCAGCTTCTTCATGAGACTTTCTTCTTGTGTTTTCCAGGTCTACAACTCGAACAAGGACAATCAAAGTGAAGGCAGTAAGTATATATATGTATACGTGTATATTTCTTTAAGCAAACAGTGTGAGAAGTGAGCGGGCTCCTCCATCTGCTGCAGCAGGGGTGCTGGTGGCATCCTGCAGTCAGTAGCAGCTTTCCTGGCAGAACCAGAGCCTGGAGGATGAGCTTGCTTTTTCCAAGGGGAAAGTGGAACACAAATGTAAAGACTGTGGAGCTCTTACCTGATTGAAATTGTCAACAGCACCCCTTTAAGAACAAACAAAAAAAATCCAACAAAAAGCGAGGCTATTTTTCCTGTACTTCGTGCAATCAAAGACCTGAGTCAAGACAGCAGTTGTTTCTCCTCCTAGATGAGTAGTTGTACCTGGTCCTGGCTCTCAGGTCCTTTGTTTCAAAGATCTTCATTGAGCCACTTCCCAGTAGGTCAGAATTGCCATAATTGCAACATTCAGAACTGATTCCTTCCCCGAAAGTCATTGGTCATGCAAGAGCATGACCCACACTGCTGGTTAGTAAATTGTTTGTTTTTGTGCTGCCTCAATCAGGGCATTTTTCTCACAATAATAGGTATAATTTGCAAATAATTTTCCTCACACCCATTTTCAGCCCTTGCATGGAACAGTCACTTCCTCACTTCTGCTCTCTGTGATGTGGCTTCTCCCTTCCATGTTGGTCTTTCATGTCGTCTTTTTGGTTTTGTGCAGCCCAGGTGATGCTCGGAGGGTTAATCACTGGCCTTCACACCCATGGGGCAGCACAGAGAATGCCCTCACTGAATGTGAAGTCTGTGTAGTGCACTTCAATGTTTTCTCAGTTTTACAGAGAATCAAAATATGGTTTCTAGGGTCAGAGAACAGGACTTGCTCAATTCTGTCCTAATCTGGCCATTAATTGTCACTGCTGTGTGTTCCCTACACACAACCCCTGGCTGTGCCAGGACAGTATGTGCTGATTTGGCTCAAGGAGCTGTTAAATAACCGTTTTCTAAACTTTATGGAGGGGTGATGCAAAAGCAGGGAAACGTTTGGGATGGGGGCGGGGAGGGAGGAGGAGCAGTGAAGCAATCCCTGCTTCTGAAAGAAGCGCTTGTCAGGCTGTGGCCTTCCCATCTTACGTGCTGTCAGCCGGCAGTCCTTGTGGGGCTGGGTAGTTGCACTGCAGTCATCCTGCAGAGCAGCGCTTTTGGCGATGGGAAGAGCACAAGTCAGATGTGCTCGTGGCTTTCCCAAGGTCGTTTGTGTTGTCTCATCCAGGATTGCAGCTGCCAGGCTTGCAGCAGGCGCCATGTAGAGGCTCCTGAATGCTTACCTAGGGTTTCTTTGGGAAGGGGCTGCCTGGGGTTCTCCTGCCCAGGGTGGGACCTGGGGCATGCTGGGGCTTTGAGCATTTCACCGGTTCGTCCTGGCTGCAGGCAGCCTCCCTGGGCCAGCTCCCAGCCCCCAGCAGCTCTGGGAAGTTGTGTGTGTACAGCTCTGGTGGTAATGCAGCCCATGCTGCTGTCGTGCTGTGCTCTGAGGCTGTTCAGCATTTGGCAAAGGGTAGGGAGGCTCAGGCAAAGACCGAATGCCAAGTTTCTCCCTGCTCGCCTTCACCAAACAAATACTGAGGTTTAATCAGCCCAGGGGGCTGTGGCAAAGCTGCACATCTTTCAGTATCTTGTCTGTGGTGATTGCCCATCTGAAAAATGAGAACATCTCCGTGTCTCTGCTCTGCAGACCCAACCACAGCGCAGCTTTGTGGTGAGTTGGGACCCCAGGGTTAGGGCTGCTCCTGCACAGATTGGTGGCAATAATTTCACACGTGTCTATGAACAAACTGCTGCTGCTGTGCTCTGACACCTGGCTGTGCTTTAGCACGTTAGAACCATGTCTGCAGCAAGCTGCTGACCTCACCAGCCCCACTTCGAATTGATTTGGAGGCTGGCTCTGTGCCACGGAGCCCTTGTTACAGGAGCTTCCTATAAGGACTTGAAATGACTGTAATGATCGAATGGAGTCCGGATGCAATGCCTGACCCTGAGAACCTATATAACTCTGCTTCCTGCTCTTACTTATGCTGGTCTGAAAGAGAACGAGACTTGGAGTGCTATAGTGAGGTCTGCTTTTCGGCCACTATCTAATTTTACAGAGCTTTTGGATTTTACATCCTGCTGTGTGGCCAGATGGCCATCAGCCTGCAGGGTGATTTATCTTAATCTGGTCTGGGAGGTGGGAGGAAGCAATGCAGAGTGCTGGGGGCTGAGTGGGTATCAGTGTACTGCTAGAGCTGGGTGAATTGAGATGCACTGCTTCGCAAATGAAGGGGACTTGCTCTGCTCTGTGGAAATAATCATAGAATCTTTTGAGTTGGAAGGGACCTTTAACGGTCATCTAGTCCAACTGCCCTGCAATGAACAGGGACATTATAGCTCAGTCAGGTGTTCAGCCTGGCCCATCCTGACCTTGTATGTCTCCAATGGGCATCCACCATCTCTCTGGCAACCCTGCCAGTGCATCACTGCCCTTCTTGTAAAAAATGTTTTCCTTATGTCTAATCTCAATCTCTCCTCTTTCGGTTTGAGCTCATTTCCCCTTGTCCTATCCTAGCAGACCCTGCTGAAGAGTCTGTCCTCTTCCTCTGCTCACTGCTTTCACCTCCTTTGTTCACATCCACGTGATTCTCCATCTGTTCAGGATGGAAGCATGCCCCTTCCTGGTGGTCCTTGTTCCCCACAGCTTGGCATCTCTGGTGCTTTGAGGCGTCTAAGACTGAAAACTCATTTCTCTCTGGTCTCCACTTCTTGGTTTCTTTCTCCTCTGTGGCTTTTAAAACCACAGTGGTGTTTGAAAAAGGTTAATGATCGTCATCATGATGGCACTTTGTTACATGACACAGAATTGTGTAGTGGGGAATGCAGGGGAGCTGGCTTTGGCCTTGCATTGCCTTGGCTGATGCGTACACATCTGGAGCCGGCAGGGTTACATGTGGCTGAGCAGAGCTAGCTGTCTTCGTGCCCCTTCACTGATGCTCTGAAATACCAGATCAGCATAAAGTAGAAGAATTAGTGGATTAAATAGAAATAATCTGGTAGGCAAAAATAGGACAGGATGAGACCAGCTCAGTAGCACTGGGAATATGATGTTACACGAAGGTCAGATAAATATTTGTGTGTGCAGCACTGGTAGTACAAATGATATGCATCACCTTTCTGATTTTAGATATTTCTCTGCTGGATTATGGTATGAATACTGCATCTCAGTAGTGCTCTGAAATGTTGCTCTGGAACGAAGAGCCTGTGATGCGTATCTTGGACTGGAGGCTGTGTTTTACGTCTGTCCCGTGGGGAGCAAGAGCTTCTATGGACAGGGGAATAAGGGGAGGAAGGGTGTAGGCTTTGCTTTGTGGGCAGAGTACAACGCTACCAGCCCTGCTAATAGAAGGCTGCAGATCTGCTGCCAGTTATGGTGGAGAGGCTGTTTTAAATATATAGGATGGGGATTGGGGATGCCTGTTGTGAAGAGTGCAGATAGGCTGTGCTTTTCTCTGGTGGGTCTGAGAGTTTGCTCTTCACTGCTGCCTTCCCTCTCTGTGCAGCCCCTAAAGGCAGGCTGGTCTGCAGCTCCTTCCTTCCTCAGCGCTCCCAGCCTGCAGACGTCACCAAACAGCCCAAGCCCAAAGCTACCGACCATTCTGCTGCTGGAGTGAGTGGAGCCAGCATGAGGGTCAGGGCTGCAGTGGATACAAATCTGACTTTCATCTGTGTGGTGCAGGTCGGAATCATTGGGTAAATGAATGAGATGAAGGGAGGCTGCTTCTGTGAGAGGAAAATCAAGCTTTTATGATGCTCATTAAAAGTTAAATTTAAAGATGAATAAAGGCACTTTGGATATTTAATCAGATATTATTTCTGGATATAACTACTGCAAATAAATCCCCGACCTTTCCTGATCCAGAGCTCAACAACGAGTTGGAGAGCTTATTCATCTACTTGGGAGGATTATGCTCAGTCGTTTCCATCCGGAAAGACTGCTCCTGTTTCTCCCCTCTGCTGTGGCCAAGCAGCACAGTGAGGTGTGAACTCAGCCCTTGCTGGGCCCTGTGGTGGGGCATGCAGGGAATGGGACTGGTGCTTGTGCTCAACCTCAAGCATCCCACGGGCTGAGGGAAACTGCTGCACTGTGGGAATGGTTGGAACTTAGAGTGTGTGAGCCTGGAATGGTGAGCTGCGATGGCTGGACAGCACTGTGCAGGGATACCAAAAGATCAGGAACTAAGTTAGTGCTAGGAAGCCCTGCTGAGCTGGGTCTGTCTGTACAGAAGGGTTTCCACACTACAGTTTCCTGCTCCTCAGGCACCCCAGTGCAGTGCTTTGTGGTGATCAGGGTGCTGCAGGCTGTGTCCCTCTGATGGGTGCTGCGTTGCCTTTGTTGTGACTGTGCCTGCAGGGCGGCTGGGAGCTGTGCTGAGAACCCCCCTGGTGCTGAGCAGAGCACCCTGGAGCTTTGGGATGTTTGTACATCCTGCAGCACAGGAATCCTCCAGCCTGTGTGCTTACGTTGGCTCAGCGCTCCACTGTGCTTGCCCAGAAAAATATAATAGACCTGTTTTACTGTTTCAGGTTTTTGTGCCATTCATCATGTAACAATACCAGCAGGGAACTCAAAAGGAGTGATTAGCAAGGGCTGGCCCCATGCAAGGCATAGGCAGCCAGTGGACTGGAAGCTTGTCATGAACCAAGTGCAAATCTGTGTTTAAATAAACGATTTGAGCAGGGAGAAGGAAAGGAGTAAAATCACATGTGCCTTGCTGTGAGGATACTGCCAGCCCTGGGCTCTGCTCTGCTCCTCTTGGCCTCTAGACAAGGCACGGTGTTGTCTCTTCCAACATGACAGTTCCTCATGCCTGTGCAGAAGTCATTGATGTCCTCTGCTTTTAAGATATTGCTGTGGCTTTCCTCGCCCCAGAGCCCTCCCTGTCAGGATGACGGTCAGCAGCATTGTGCAGTCCTTGCATAAGGTGGCCCTGGGAGAACTGTGCAACTCCTTGCTGGAGAATGTGGTGGGGATGCTGGACGTCTTCGTCTGGGTTGCTCCCAGGTGTCGGTGCAGCCCTCTGCAGCAGTGTCAGGGGCTTGGTTAGCTGGGTGGACGTGGAAAGGATTTATAGGAATTGCCAGCAACTCAGATCAAGCAAGCTGTTCTGTGCGGTTTTCAAGGATTTATTGTGTCAAAAATATATGATTCCCCTTTTTTATTCACAAGCAACCTAGTGTCAGCTTTGCAGACAAAGGTCTCATTGGGATATCTCCCCTAGGTTCACGTTTTGACCAGCTGTAGCCATAAATCTCCGGCACAGCCGTGGCTGCTGGGCGCAGAGATGCGGGAGGTGAGGATCAGGGCGGTGCGGAGGCTGCAGTGATGGCTGAGGGTTGTGTGCTCACCACACTACACCTGGTACAACGCTGTGCTCATGTCTCTCCTCTGCGAGCACCTCATTTATCTTCTTTTCCTTCCCCCCGTCTGAGCAGGGTACAGCGTTGCTGTGAATGCTGTGAATGGCTGCAGGGTGAGCAGTGCACGGTGGGAAGCCGTCCCTCCGCGGGGTGTTTGTCACTTCTCTCCTCTCTTCCCTTTCAGCTGCCCAGTTGGATAATATCGGCTTCAGCATCATCAAGAAATGCATACACGCTGTTGAAACGAGAGGTAGAGCGCTTCACCAGATGGTCTGGTTTGGGGGAAGGCGCTGCATCTGTTCATAGCGCAGCGTTTGCTTACCTGCTCTTTTCATGAACAAAAATGATTTGTTAACCCTGTGAATCCCATATCAGATAACTGCTGTGATGTGCTCACACAGCGTGCTGCGATGTGCGCTGCCGGGTGGCCTGGGTTGGTGGTGAGAACGGGGATGGATGGGGCTGAGTCAGGAGGTGCAACACAGAGCTACAGGCTGCGCCAGAGCCTGCCCCCATGCAGTAATAACAAAGCATTTCCTCTCCTATGGCTGACAAACAGATGTGCATTTCAGTCCTCCATGCAGAACATGGAAAAGGCTCAGACCTAAACCTGAAGAACTTGGCCTAGTACAATTTTTCTAGAATTGCCTTTCAGGTGTGCACTGTGTGCAGATCCTTCGTGGTGCAGCCACACTCCCTCACTGCTAGTGTGGTGCGGCACGGTGGCCTTGGATTTTTGATTCTTGAGCTAATTGGGGTCATTACTTTTAATCAATACACGAAAGCCCTGAAATCAAAACCAATTTTTACCCTCTTCTATAATTTTGTATGCAGTCAGTGGGAATATTTAATTATTGCTGTTGGAAGACCCAAAGAAGTGAAATAAATGTTAGTAGCTCTTTTGACGTTCTCCTAATAAACGCTTTATTTTTTCCAGGGATCAATGAGCAAGGACTCTACAGAATTGTTGGAGTAAACTCTAGAGTTCAAAAGCTGTTGGGTATATTAATGGGTAAGTAGCTTATATTTTGTTATGGGCAAGTAGGCTGTGCTGCTTCGAAGTCTTCTAAACCAAGAACGGAGGCTCCTGTCCGGGTACCTAATCGTGGTGACTGTGCCCTTAGGACCACATGCTGTTAGAGGCCCGGAGGTCCCAGGGCACTACTGGCAGGTTGTGGAGGTAGGACTTGTGGAGAGCATTGCTCTAACAAGTTTTCTGTTGTGGTCACTGATGTCCTACTCACATGCGCTACAAATTTTGGCATCCTTCCCAAATGCAAACTAAAATCTTAGAAGGAGGAGCTGAAAGCTTTGGTTTTTAATCTCATAGCTCCCGCAGCGTTCCTGGAATACTTTTTAATTATTTTCTTGCATGTTGCATGCTGTGGCTCTGACTTTCTCCTTGGACCTTCCTGTGCCTGTTTTAACATAGGCTTGCTCAAAGCTTTCGAGCATGCGTTTTCTCATGCCTGAGGCGTTGGGCCCCACAGCTGTGGGTGCTCGGGAGCAGAGGAGCTGTCAGGTCAGGTTGTGGCAGAGCCTGGTGCTGACAGCATGGCCCCGGCGTGCAGCCACAGAGCTGCTGCCCAGCAGCACTCAGCAACCCCTATGCATTTCTCCTTGCAAAAAGTTTTAGGCCATTGTGTTCCATTCTGAATGTCTTTCCTCCTTTCATCCCTATTCCTCCTCCTTTTCCCACCACTGAAGCTCTCTGTGAGCAAAGCCCCTGGTGGCTGTTGCCGATGTCAGCACTAACGTCCTCAAAATTGGTAATCCAGAGAGGCTATTAGGAACCAGAAGGGTAAGGTCTAAATCACAGCCCTCGGCTCTCTCCTGACGCAAGGGGACACGTCTGCATCAGTTATGCTCTGGCATTTGGAAAGTTCGCCGCAGTCACAAGAGCTACTGACTGCCTGTTTTTCTTTTATTAGTAGGAGTTTGGCATAGGCTCTGGAGCATGTGAGTACGTCCTGCTGGCCACGCAGATAAGCCAGCTCTGTCTCATGGTGCACACATTTGGCACTGTTGCGTTAGAGCATCATTTAAAGAGCATTGCTGCCCACTGATAAAAATAGGCCAGGGCCTGGGTGCCGTGCAGCATGGCAGCTCTGCCGTGCCAGGTCCTCTGCCTGTGGCTTCGTAGCAGTGTGTATCATCTCGAGAGCTGCAAGGTGACTGAACTGCTCTATTCTCCCATGGCCGAGCTCCGTGCCATCGGCCTCATGGTTGCATCAGTTCTGATTAGAGGCTCTGAGGCTGTGACAGATGGCAAACCTTGCTTGTTTTAAGAGCTCTTTGGAGCTGGGAGGGATTCAAAGTTTTGGACACCATCCAGCATCCATTATCTTCTCAGTGACCGAAGCCACTCAGCTGTTGACCTCGTGTCTCATAACGTGGTGATATACAGTCAGTGTTTTCTCTCTGTCGTGGCGTGTCTTCATTAGCTGTCGGTGCTGGGAGGCCGAGGAGAGGCGGGTGTGCGCAGGGAGTGCCTGCTGGGCGTTGGCAGCTTCCTCCCCTGAGGGCCCCCCATCACCAGGACTCTCTGCAGACCCAGCTCTCCCCACCTTTCTCTCAATCAGCAACAGCTAAACCAGCGAAACCGTCCTTATGTGGAACCAGCATTTGGGCTGTCTGCAAGGGAAGTGTTGAACTGAAGTGTGTCAGTTGTCAAAGCCTCTTGTGTTCTGTGCTGGTCCCTCTTGTTCACTGTGCTGAAGGTAGCTGCTCGGCTCAAAAGTTTGTGTTTGTACAACCCTCGTGAAAAGGCAAAGCCAGATTTTGCTTGCCACTCCAGGTTCCCCTTATATTTAGAAATGAATGTGGGCAGCATCAGTGATTCACACGGGGTTTAAATGGCAAAAAGATTGAGTTTCAGCGTGCGGCGGCTGATGTAAGCGACACTGCTGGGAGGGCCCTGGCTGCTTTGCAGAGGCTGTGGCCGTGCTGTGCTGTAGCACTCCGGGGTCAGGGGTGGCACAGCCGGGCTTGGGCAGAGCCCGTGGCCTTGTAGGAGCTCGAGGTGGAGCGGGCAGTGTGTGGGGGACTTGTGGGGGCAGCTGAATTGAGGACAAAACCCAGCCGATAGAGCTCGGTCACTTGGAGCCCTGGTGGAAGGGCGTGCTGCTCAGGGCGCTGATGCTGTAGCTGCTCTGGGCTGAGTGGTGGGCTGGACTTGTCTCTGCTGCACAGGGCGGTGGGTGAGACGTCCTCCAGGTTGTAGCTGCTGTCACACAATGTCTTACGGCTGTTCTGGAAGTCTCTCCAGCCACCCAAGGATGGGTGGGAATTATGGCTGGGTGATGAGCTTGTGCTCCGGGCACTTCCTCTCATCGTGCAGAAATTAGTGTGGAATTGAAACCATCTGTCTTATGGCAGCAGCTTTCTCCGTCCCCAGGAAATAGATGGAGAAGTTCCATGAGAACGGGCTTTGGGCAGGGGCAGTGCTGGGCAGCAGGAGGCTGCTGGGGCTGCTGGGCTGGGCTGGGGCTGTCTGCCCAGTGTGGGCTCCTGCTGCCAGCCCATGTCCTGCCCCCAGCACCTGTATGGTCACCGGAAGTGCAAAGACACTACTGGAAAACAAAAGACAAAGACAGACAACACGTTCTATTTTCTTTATGATTTAGATCTGGAGATGTGCCGCTTCCTCTTCTTTCTTCATGTACCCACACGTGAGGCTTTAAGCAGTGAATTCCTTTGCTCTGCAGCCCATAGAGAGCAGGACAAACATCCTGTGTGGCATTTGTAACTGTGCAGAATGAGCTCCCATCGGACAGAAGTGGGAAGTGGTGCTGGAGTGTCATGGCGTGGGCAAAATGCTTCCTTCTGCGCCTACCAAGAGACAGCAGAGCAGTAATGACAGCAGTGGGGAACCTCGGGGTTAACACTGCACTGGGCCTGCTGGGTGCTTTTATGGGCGCTATTTCACGTTTACTCTGGTTCGTATGGAGGTTTGCCCTTGTGAGCACAGGAGTTCCCGTGTGCTGCCAGCTGCATCCATCATTTACCTGGCAGACAGATGCTGCCTCTGTACTGCACTGCCATAGCTGTGTGCGGGCTGGTAAGCGTGAAGGTCAGGGAGAGCTGCTTATCAGCACAGAGTCTTTGCATGTGAGCAGCCATACAACATCACCTGCTGTTCCATGAACCGTATTTAACAACTCCTGGATGACCTTTCGAAAAGACGTCTGGCTGGGAGCTGTTGGCTCAGCTCCACCGAAGGCCTTGCCATTAAAAAGATGTTTTTTTGGTTTGTTTTTAGGCTCTTGTTTGCCTTTTTCTTGTGGTGGGCTTATCTTTAATCTGTGAGATTGCCTCCTTAGGAAGGTCGTGCAGTGGGAAGTTGCCTTGGCATCGAGAGGGAAGGATGGCGTTCGGTTGTGATTTCTCCAATGGTTACTTTTTCAGGAGTTCCTCTATTTGTAAATTAAACTGAGGGAAATTCTAACTCTTATTCAGTGCGTTATTTTAATTCATTTTAAAATTCCACTATGTTTACCTGTTGCTTTAAAATTCAAAAGCACGTTATGCGTGTCTGTGAGGTGAAGGTACTGCAGAGCTGCCTTTGGCACCTGGTGGTGTTGGCAGCTGCACCCAGCAGCAGTGCCTGGCCGTGGGGCTCAGCCTGCAGGCAGGATGTGGTCCTGTGTTGCCGAAGGGTCCTACTGCTGTTTCTCCTGAGGTCTGGAGGGGTCTCCCGTGGTTTCACTGAGGTCAGAGGGTGGCTGTGTCCTGCTGCTGCCTCCTGCCCAGCAGTGCCCAGTGTGTCCCTCACTGCTGTTGTGCAGGGTTGTGCTCTTTGCTCCGGCACTCTGAGCCTTTAAGTGCTGGTGTGAGATGCCCATGGCCAGGCTGGTTTGTGTCGGTGTGCTGGTGGTTTCTAAGCTGTCTGTTACTAATTGTTAGCAAAGAGTCGGGAGCAGTGTCACCCATTTTGTTTATGGTGCGTGGTCACCGAGCGTGGACAGTGCAGGCACTGGTGTGCGACTGGTGCTGCACGTGGCTGGAGGGCAGGGACCTCTGCCCTGTCAGGGCTGTAATTTCTCTGCTGAGTCCTGCAGGGATCTGTGGTTGTCATCTTCTGAGTCGTGTCTGTGCAGTGCCATCACCGCTGTCATTGACTGCCGCGGTCCCCTGTCCCCTGTTTAGTGCCGCGCTTGGAGTCCAGCTGCCAGGCTCATTGCTCGTGGCTGATGTTTTTCTTTTCTGCTGTTTTTTTGTCCCATGCAAGTGAGCATGTCCTGTCTCTGGTGATGAAGTCGGCTTTCCTGAGAAGCATCTGCTGGAGAACAGCTTGTGGTCTCTGGGATTTGGAAGAGCAGTGAGAATGGGACGTGACGAGTGTCCATGCAGCTGGCTGTGCTCTGTTGGTGCTGAGTGGTACGAGCTGGGATTGTCTTCACTTGGGTTCACTTGTTTACTTTTTTTCTTTTTTTCTTAGATCCAAAAACTGCCACTGAAACAGAAACTGAGATCTGTGCAGAATGGGAGATAAAGACCATCACTAGTGCCCTGAAAACGTACCTGAGGTAAGGGAAGCGAGGCTGGTCTGTCATGCAGCTTCAGGACCAGTTCCATGATCATCAGAGGCATTACTGCCTATTATTTAACAAAAGCATTTATAAACAAAGAAACTGCCCTTAGAGAATTCATTCTTCTTCCTTGACCCTCTGGCATGCTTGAGTAGGATAGGGGGAATATTCTCAGCTCTGACAAGTGCAAATATTGCATGAATGTAATGACGGGGCTCCTTCTCACATGCCCTGCTCTGGTGTAGGCTTTTCTCTGAGCCTTTCACTGCAGGCTTCAGCCTGAGGAGTGCGTGGAGAAGGTGAGCACAGTGCTCCTGTAAGGGCCATGGCAGTTGTTACAGACCCTTCTCAGAACTGGGTGCTAAGCTTTTGTAAGCAATAATTTCCATATGGATGCTGATGCCGTTATCGTGTGCGTTGCCTTCCAGAAATGTTAGTTTCTTGGCAGCAGTCAGTATCTCATTCTCGACAACATGCCTCTACCTGTTGTGACTGCAGGTTTTTGCTTTGTGTTGTCCTGTCTGTTGGGTGTTTTTTTTTTTTTTGAGACATGGAGAGCAAGAGAGAAGCTAAATCCAATTAGAGTGATGAGTATAATTAGCTCGGTGGATCTCGGCCTAGAAAATCACAAAACACTGCATAATTTTGTATGATTGGCAACCTTTGTTCCAGAGCTTGAACTGTTTGCAAGGCAACAAGGAATGTCAGCAGCACCAAGACGTCCCACTGAAGGGATGTGGAAGTGGAAGGGAGAATGGGAAGTGTAATGGGAACAGTGACTGTTAAAGTTTTATGACTGAGCTTGTTTCTCTTTTTAATTTATTTTTAAGCTTACTCAGAATTCACTGACTCACTGATGTACAAAAGTTTTGTTTTACTGTGGTACTGAAGGAATGTCAAAATTAAAAATGAATTGAGTATGGTACAAAAAAAGAGAGGAAGAATAAACTGAAGGTACTTCAATAAATCTTGCGTCCTCTGATGAGAGGAATCAATTAGAGTTGTTCCTGCTTCGTTCTGCTCTCAAAAAACAGAGCTGAATTTATGGTGATTGCAGAGCTTTATTTCTACAGTTCTGAGGATGGTGTTACTCACTGTGTGCTGTGTGTGATACCTTTTTATCTTCCAGAATGCTTCCAGGGCCGCTCATGATGTACCAGTTTCAAAGGAGCTTCATCAAAGCAGCAAGTGAGTTTGTTGATGTTTACAGCATGGGGCCAGAAAAGGAACAGGGCTTGCAAGCAGCTGAGCATAACCTCTGCCCTGCTGCTCTCCCACTGATCCCTTGTTCTTAAATCTTGGAGAGCAGAGCAAGAATTGAGATACAAGGGGCAGGGTGTCGTGTGGGACTCTGGATAAACAGAAAGCACGTGGTCAGGGCTGTCTGATGGCAGCAGCTGGTGGTGCAGGTATTTCTTCTTCTGACCATCAACCTCTAAAGTGAGCGAGGCTGCTGTTCAAACAACACCTACGCTGTTCTGATTTTATCAGTTGCGGTTCCAGCGTCTGAGCTCCTTTCCTTTGTCTGCCCTGGAGCATGCTTTATATGGGAGCAGGCGGCTGTCAGAGCTGTGTGCTGCGGGGCGGTGGGTGGGGAGGGCTCACACCAGCGGTCACATCGGCAGTGACCTGGGAAGGGATGGAGGCAGGCGCAGCTCGGATGGCTCCTGCTCAGGCTCTGGGACACATCTGCAACCCTGAGACCGCAGGCTGACACCTTCCCAGGTGCTGTGCCGAGCACACACGGTGCTTAGAAGCACGTTGGATGGGATTGTGCTGCTGCTTCCCGTTGTTGAAGTCAGAGGAACGCTCTGGTTACGGCCAGCCTGTTTCCTGATCACAACTGGCTTTTCATATGGCTGGTATCTGCTCTCAGCCTGTTGTTCAGCCCATTGGTTTCTTACTTTTTCAAACAACTGATTGGAGTTGGTAAAGAGAAAAACTGCTGTGGAGAATACCTGCAGTGTCCTGGTGTAGGTTGGACGTAGGGACTGGGAGCCTTGGGTCCCTGGGATGTCTGTCTGGGTTACTGTTTGGGCCCGCGTGCCCTTTTCTATAATAAACCCCTGATGCAGAGATGAATCATCTTTTATTTCCAATGCAGAACTGGAGAATCAGGAATCCAGGGTGTCAGAGATCCACAGCCTTGTTCATCGGCTCCCGGAGAAAAACAGGCAGATGCTGCACTTGCTCATGAACCACTTGGCAAAGTACGTATATGACTGATATGTTTTTCTCTCCATTTTCCACTTCCTTTGAAAGTTAACAGTGATAAAAAAAAGTTTCCTTGTGTATGTGGTGTTGAGTCACATCTGGCTGACGACCAAGTGGAAACCTGTGTGTGAGTGAGAGGGAGAGCAGGAGGTGGGCAGCCCAGTGCCGTCCTGCAGTGTGTGGCAGTGTGCTGCGTTGGCTGCAGGCAGAGCCAGGTTAAGATCTTTGTGGGGGTTCAGACCGAGCCTGGGATTGAAGGACTGACAGATATTTCTTCGCAACAGTAGGAGACTATTCTGGGGCGTATTTTCTGCCTTGGAGCAACTTAATTCATTAATACTTCTAGGTTACCTTGAAACTTTTCAAGGGCAAAGGAACTGGATAGTATTTTTGCCTTCGGTGATAGAACTGACCTGTAATTTCCCATCTTCCTGCTCCTGCCGGTTGCTGTGGAAACCTTTGATTAGTGCTTAGGAAGTGAAAGCATCACAAGGTGTTTGTGCCAGCCCGAAGGCTGCTGGGTCACTGGGTGCGCAGAGGGACTGGGCAGGACCCACAGAGCTGGGGCTGTTACTCAGCAGAGCCTTTCAAAAGAAAATCTGGGAAAGCCCAAAGTTATCTATTTCAGAGAAAAAATAATAAACAATACTTGAAATGTGCTTAAAAACGACTCCAGATGCTTTCTGATGACATGTGTTTGTATCTGCTCCATGGACTCTCCCCAGCAAGGCTGTTAAAAACTAAAGGGCTTGTTTAGATCTCGGTTTCAAAACCTTCTGCATTTACGGGCTGCAGCCAAGGGAAAGGCAGTTCCAGGTACTCCCATCGGCCAAGTATGTGCAAGGAGTCGCATAGCTGCTGAAGTGCTTTTCATTTAAAGGAAAACCTGGTGCTATTTGAGTGTGAGATGTGGAGTTGGGGAGGCAGGTAATACAATGGGCTTCAAGCTGTTTTAATGAGGAAGGAACTAAAACAAAACACAAACAATGAGTGGTAGTGGTGCTTGCTATATTAGGAGGAGAAACAGTTTATAGTGTTCAATGGGAAAAAAGTGATCTCGGAGAAAGGCAGGAAGCTGTGGGGATCAGAGCCTGTTGTGTTCCAGCAGTGCTGGGGCTGACCACCCTCACCAAGCTCAGGGTGCTCCTGGTGTGTGTGTGATGGAGGAAGGGCGTTGTGTGGGGTGGCAGTGGGATGTCCCTGTGGGCACAGCAGCCCAGACTCCACAGCCAGGTGCTGCTCCAGGGGTACAGGGCTGTGGATAGGAAGGGCTGGCACCGGCCCCAGTCCTGCCCCTGCTCCTCCTGCCCCATGGCATCCCATTGGGTTTGGGGTCCCTGTAGGTGAGCTGGCAGAGCACACAGCCGGGGGGGGGCTTGCAGGTGGTCTGAGCTGTGGGTGAAGTTTTGCATCTGCAGCAAATGGTTGCAGGGAGGCAGAGAGCAGAAGGGCGGGTGTCCTGCATGGGGGTTTGGGTGCCCTGGGTGGGCCTGATGCATGGGGCAGCCAGCAGTGGTGTCACAGCAGGCCAGGCAGGGCCCCGCTGCCCCGGCTGCAGCTCTTGGGGGGGATTGCCTCATCTTCTTCCTCTTTTTTTTTTTAAGTAACATATGAATAATCAAGATTTGCATTTTTATCAGATGAGCTAACAAATATTTCTCACAGTACTGATGTGGAGATCTCTTACACTAACAAGAGAACTCGGTGTCAGTCACACAGAGGTCTGTCCCGTGTTTTGTTTGCATGTTTTGCTGTTGCTTACTGAAAAGGGAAACCGGGCCGCTCGTTTGGCACTGCTGGTAGCAGTAAGAGCCCTGCTCACACAGCACATGCAAATGGCAATTATCATACAAGTGGAACCTGAGCCAGGATAAGCTGGTGAAGTGGTGGAGGTGGGCCCTTCTCACTTTCACACCTCTTTGTGCTGCCTGTGGGCAGTGTTGGGGCTGCATCCCTGAAACACAGCGTGAGCTGGGACTGTCAGTGCTCCTTCACCAGTGCCCAGTGCTGCCAATGTCCTCCTCTGTTCTGCAGACACCATTTCCAGGGAAACTTGCCATTATTATGTTAATCTTTGACCCATTAATAGGTGAAACCTCTAATTTTCTTTTTTGGGACGTGCTCACACTGCCCTGATCGCACTTGGTGATAAATCCAGCTGAGTTATTGTTCCTGAAAAATCAAGACCAGTTTGTACTGGTGTTTTCTCAGGAGGATCAGTGCTGAAAAACCCAACCTTGTGCCCAGGAGACTTCTAAGGATGCTCCAGGAATGTCTGTGCATCACTTCCAAATGCTGTTTTACTGACAGCATGCACCAGCTCTGGTGAAACCTGTTGTTCCCTGGCCTGTCAGCTGAGTTAGCACAGCACAGGCTGCTATGAGCTCAGGAGCAGCCGTGCTGGAGCTGATTGAGAAAATGACTGGTTGTGTTAGCAGAGTTACAATGTCATCCCCATCATTCCGCTCTCCTTTAATGTAGGTGCAAAGCAGGAGGTTTTAGAGCATTTTTTTTTTTGCATTTCTTGACAGCTGGGCTGATGCTTGCTGCAGTGGGCTGGGCTGGTGACAATCCTGTACTATGCCCACCTTGGGCTGCCGCCCACTGCATTGCATGGCTGCTGGTGTCCGGCCCGTGGGGCAGAGCTGCATCTGCTTGGGGCATGCACACCTCTCCTTGCAAAAGGTCAAAGCAATTATTGGGGTTGCAGCAGAAATGTGTGTACGTGTGTTTAGCAAAATTAATTATCTTTAATCATTCGCAGCTGTGGCCTGGCCAGCAGCGACTAGTTCCCTCTGTTTTTGCTGCGGTGGTGTTTTCTAGTTTACGTGTTCTACCGCCGTGGCACTGATTGCCATCTCCCGCCCAAAGCATTTCCCACGTGTCAGCAGCGATGGTTCCCATGGCACATCCAGCAGTAACGGCAGGATGGGGCTCTGCCCAACCGAGGGCTGTTGGCAAAGGAGGGCGAGAAAAAACCTGCTGGGCTCTTGTGCCCAGAAGTGCAGCCTGGTGCTTGGCGTGGCGGCTCAGAGCTGAGCTGGCCGTGCTGGCCTCTCCGTGGTGCTCAGTGCCTGGCAGCATGGATGCACGGCGCAGCACCGGGGCGGCCGCTTCCTGCGCTTTTCCTCCGGTTGTTTTCCCCGTCTTCCCCCGAAGGTGCAGCAGCGATGCGGCTGACGCCTCTTGGCACGGCAGGTCTGATTTCATCCCCGTGGCAGCTGTTTATGTTGCTGTCTGGTAACTATTCATTTGCTTGATTTATGTATTACTTCCAGTAAGTCATTCTTGTCCAGGACGTTCTGGAAATTTCCACTAGCCTCTGAGGCCTTTAAGATACGCTTCTCTTGTATGTTCTTGGCCTGATTTGGCTGCCAAAAGAAAACAGCGAGCGAGATCTCTTGACCTTGCATGGAAAGTGTAAGCAGCGTTCCTCCCTCGCCGCTCTCCCTCTTCCTCGCTTTGGGAATGGCGCCCGCGCTCCGCCAGCACTCGGCTTCTGCACGGGCAGCGCTGTGCGCGTGGGGCGATGCGCTGATCCACGGGACCTGGGTGCTCACTGGAGTGGCAGAGGGCAGCGTTTGATGGAAGGAAGGTGGAAGGTCTGTGTCTGGCCTGTGCAATAGGGATGGACCTCGCACGCTTTCTTGCTACCTTCCCGCTTCTGTTTTTCTGCCATTTTCATGCTGGGGTGAGCTGGGTTCATGCACTGCCTGTGTGTACCCTACAATAGAATCACAGCTCAGAAAAAAGCTCTCAGATCCCCATGCCCAATCCCAACCCGGCCCACCGTGCCCACTGACCATGTCCCCAAGTGCCACATCTCCATGGTTCTTGGACACCTCTCGGGGTGGTGACTCCACCACTCCCTGGGCAGCTGTGCCAGTGCTGTAGGAGTGAAACAGTGCACAGAGAAAGGAAGGAAGAAAATTTAGACTTTAGACTGATCATGATTATTAAAAAAAAAAAAAAAAAGTAGCAGCAAAAAAAAAAATAGTTGGCAAGAGTGCCAGGAGCTGATGAAAGTGGTACAGGAGCCAAAGCAGCGGGCACGGGCTGAAACGTGGGAAATTCCATCTGAATGTCAGAAAAAAGTCTTTTCATTCGGAGGGGGGCAGATGCTGGGTGCCAGGGGGCTGCGGAGCCTCTGTGCTGGGGATGTGGGGCCCAGCAGGGCTCAGGTGTCCCTGCTGGGCTGGGCTGGGGCCACAGCCAGTGGAGTCCTGTGTGTGGAGCTGTGCTCCTCTGCTTCCTTTGTGCTGCGGGGTAACGGGTTGTGTTCCTCTGCCCTGGCTTTAAAAACACAGCTTTAAGCCGTGTTAACTATTTCAAATCGTCTTCTTCCTAACTGGAGCCGAGCCCACAAAGATCAATAAGAATCCCTTTTGCTGTAGTGCTTTGACATTATGAGCAAGTATAGCCAGTTGTCTGCTTATGTTTTGCTCCTGAGTGGGGGGGGGGAAATCCCAACCCAACCCAGCAGCGCTCGAGCTGCCTGCAAAGGGCAGGACTGGGGCTGGCAGGCTGCAGGAGCCGCCCGTGTGCAGCGCCGTGCCCCCAGCAGTGCAGGGCTGTGCAGCTCTGGGGTTTGTAGTGCTGGAGACAGGCGGTGGTGGGGAGATGGCTCAGCAGATTAGTCTGAAATCGTAGTGCGACCGTGCTGCAGGCTAATCTAATTACAGCGGCTAACTGGAACCACCTGTAGCTGCATGGAAAGACAAAGGCTGCGGAGGGCCCTGCTCCCCTCGCAGCGCCTCTGGCGGGGCTCTGCTGGCGCTGGGCTCCGCCGGGCTCACACGCATCTGAAGCATTAATGAAATCTGCATGTTTTTACCGTAATGGCTTGGTTTCCCCTGTTCTCTTCATTTTTGTGTTAGGCTCCTGGAGATACAATTAGCTTTAATGTGGTTTGTTAGAGATCTAGTTTGCTAAACAAGATAGATCTGGGGGGTGGAAAGTCCAGGATTGCGGGGTGCTGGCCGAGGTGTGGTGTGGG